AGGGGCGGGGGGGGAGGGGGGGCACCAGGGGAGCTAGAGAGGACTCATCAGCCAGGGGGAATTTAAAGGCAGTAATAAACCGACTAAAAGTCAGTTTGCCTGTTGTCATCAGTGATAAATTATTCCTCCCCCCAAAAAACCTGTTGTTGGTTGAAGTGAGTCCTAATCATATAAATAAAAGCTTCAAAATGCCTATTTTAATTACTTATCCTTTTAGAAACATTATTCTAATGGATGGTAATAACTGCCGGCTTCACAGCTGGCCCCGCGCACACAGCCTCGGCGATGAGCCTCAATTCTGAGGACGGTTCAGAACAGCCGGAATCGTGCGGGCTGGCGTCAGTGTCATGGTGTCTAGTGTCTGCGATGTCACATGCTCCTGCCTTCAAACAGTGCATTCAAAGCAAACTCAAGGGTGCCACGAGCGTAGGTCTCCTGGCTTCTCTCAATCTACGTGAACACCCGGAGTTGTGCTTAAGATGTCTTTACTCCACAGACATTCAAAAGCTGCTAGAATACATCTCAAAGAACTGAACATATGGACAGCATCACAATTTCTGGCTTCTTGGGAAACTGGATTTTTAGCAGCCTCTACCAAGCAATCCATACGCTGAAGACTCTTCCCGAGTATGTGTGTATTGGTTGCTTCATGTCAAAAAAATTCCTCAAAATTAAAATTAATAGTGTTTTTATCAGCCACGAGTGAAGAGAGACTAGCAAATCTGGTACCTCTGTCTGTCTAGTGAATGTAAAGATGTGAAGATCAATTCTGATAAAGTCTTTGACAGATCTGCAGACGGTAAGGCCTGAGAACAGCAACTACAAGGCTAATCTCTACCAGCACAACCAGTATGGAGAAATAAGCTTTTTCTTTAAAAAAAAAAAAAAAAATTACCCCCTGGGCAAGTAGCTCCACTGGTTAGAATGTCATCCTGATAAGCCAAGTTAGCAGCTCGATCCCTGGTCAGGGCACATACAAGAATCAACCAATGACACATAAACAAGTGGAGCAACACACTGACGTTTCTCTCTCTGTTTCTTTCCCTCCCTCCCTCTAAAGTCAATCAATAAAAAAATAAAATACAATAATAAAAAATAAAGTTACATTAATGCTATTTAAAAGTGTTAATCCATCAGTTTCCTTCATCTGTACTGTAATATTTATTTTAAGGTTTCTACTGGCATGAAAATATGTATGGAATTCAGTAAAAGAGAATTCACTATTAGTTAATTCACTATTGGTGTGTGCTTTTTAAAACCTTTATTATAATTAGTTTCATTTCCTGATTAGTCCTGAAAATAATTTTGTTGCTCGAAGGAGGAAAGATGTTAAAAACAACAAAAAAACCCCCCAGATCATCTACTGTAGGCACCAAATACACTAGACAGGCTAAAATGGCAAATAATAGCACAATACCTACTCTAAATAGCAACTGACACTGGGGTTCAATGTCTGAGAGGCAACAGGGAGTGGTGGGGTGTAGGGCAAACTGCAGTATGTAGGCTCTATCCATGGGGCAGCCACCACTGAGCTCCAGCACAATGTCACCAGGTGGGAACGTGGAACCAGCACTGCCAGATCTTCTGAGTTTACAAAAGGTCAGAAATCCAGTCTTTTGTGAGTATCCTTCCTGTTTTTAAAAGGTGGTAACTAATTCAAATTTTAAAACACCATTTGGGTCAACAGGACACATCTGTGAGCCACGCGGGCAGCTAGTTCTCCGTGTCTGCTCTGCACGAGTGCAGCTTGTCCCCTCCCTTCTAAAGCTTCCTCTTGGGGGTGGTAGCTTCTCTTCCCTTCAGATTTCCTTGTGCATAAATTTCACATGTCTGCTCCTTCCGAGTCCCTCCCCAGTCTCCGTCCCTTAGAGCCCAGCCCAAGCTTGGTGCACAAGTGTGTGGGGTGAGCAGATGAAGGTGTCTGGCTCCTATGCCCAGCAGGCCCCAAACGCGCTGGGTATGGAGGAGGGCAGGCTGCTCAGAGAGGGGGGTGGACACAGGCACAGATGGGCATTCCATAGGTACCCATCCTCCTGAGACGGAGGACTTCAAGGGCCACCCACAGGAGTGACTGCTGAGACTTTGGCCTCACAGCCCTGCTCCAGGCCCACATCCCCCTGGCTTTACCTTGGGCGTCTGCTTTCTGAGCGGTTTGTGTGGACCACCCCTGAGCATTCTGTCCCTGGAAACCTGGGGCAGTCATGGAGATGGGGGGCGTCACCCGGGTCCTTTTCATCTCCACACAAAAGAGACACCTGATTCCTTGCACGCTGCCTCCCGATTCTGCTTTCCTACCCTGTAAATCACTTCTGTAGCTTGCTTCTGGATCCTATCCAGATTTTCCGTTTCCAGACGCCTGTTTGTAGTGTGGGCATGTAACTGTATCCCTCTCAGAAGGCGAATCGGGCCCACTGACTCTCTTCCTGAACCCGGCTCCCCAGAGGCACGCCCAACTCGAGCTCCCAGAAACCTGGCCACGTTCTTCCAACAACTGAGAGCAGAACACCCACCTGGGTCCCCCGCACCCTGGACTGCCCGAGTGCTGGCCCCAGCACCTCACCTTCCCTTTGATGCTCAGACCCCCGGTGTCATAGACGATCCCTTTGCCCACCCATGCAATGGTCTGGGTGGCTCCATCCGGGGTGTGGCTCAGGACAGCCAGAGCTGGGGGGTGGAGGGCAGCTTTGCCAACGCCATAGATTCCTACGGGAAGCACAGGGAGGGGGCGGTTAGGCTCAGGTTGAACTGAGCAGAGGACTCCCAGCAGCCCCCCCGAAACACCGGTTCTCCCACCAGAGGTCTCCTCTGGCTTTGGGGTGTTTCTCCTGGATAGCTGAGCGCCAGGCAGAGCTCCCTGCCCCCTCCTGCCCCGGCCAGCGGGGGATGAGGAATGCAAATTAGTTCCAAAGCTCTGGCCTGCACACGAATTCTATGCGAAGCATTGTTAGGCAAGAAAACCCGCTGAGGAAAAAATATTGTATCGTTCCCAGAAAGAAATGAACAGGCCTGCAGAATGAAATGATTTTTGGACAATGCTTCAAGGCTGCTCCAGCCCACGCTCGCTCTCCCGCCCTGAACCCTCTGTGCACTCGGCACCGCACCACCCTCTCCAAGCTCACTCCAACCGCTGCCTCACTGTTCAGTTTACGCCCCATCTTCTCGAGAAAACCCTGGCCTGCCGTGGGCAGAGTCCACGCCTCAGGCCCCCCAATAACCGAACTGAACGATCACTCCAACTAGGGCAAGAGCCAATAATGGGTGCCTGACAAACTCCTACTCACCCTGCAAGACCCACTGCAAAGGATGCCTCCTCTGTGAAGCTTTCCCTGACAGGAGTGGCCTCTCCACTTGTAACTGGCACCTGTAAGATGATCTCCCCCCTAAGTATGGACAGGCTCTCGTGTCTCACCTCTTCTGGATATAGCAGATGAGATTCCACCTCCAAGATCAGGTTACAAAAAGAGACCCTGTCTATATCTCGGGCTTGCTCGCTCTTTCTTGCTCTCTGACTGAGACCTTGCCCTGAGGAAGCAGCTGCCACATTGTGAGCCACTCAAGGAGAAGGCCCACGTGTCAAGAACAGCCTGCAAGCCCGAGGCCTGCTGGCAGAGCCATGAGTGAGACTTGCCGGGAGCACATCCCTGGCCCCGGTCAAGCTTTCAAATGATGGCAGCCCAGTCCACACCTTGATGGCGGCCTGGGAGATACCCCGGGCCCAATTCCCCACCCACAGAGCTGTGAGATCATGAGTGTGTGTCCCTTTCAGCTGCTACCTTCTGGGTAATTTGTTCTGAGGCCACAGATAACAAATATGGTGACCCTCCCCAGCCGGTCTGACATTGCCCTGGTCCTCACTGCCCCTCCAGGGCCCAGGGAGTGCGGGAGATGGACCTGGTAATCAGGGAAGGCTCTTCGAGGAAGTGGCTTTGAGCCAAGGTGTGCAGGGTGTGGCAGCCCTGCCCTGAGAGTATCTTGGGGGAACATATTCCAGATAGAGAGAGCCGTAGTACAAGGCCCTGGGGTGGACGTGACCGTGTGTATTCGAGGAACAGAAAGGCCCTGCTGAGTTGGCCCAGGGACCAGGACAGCACCACGTGAGGAGGCTGGACAGGGAGCAGGCGGGGGAGGACTTGGCTCCCACGGCTTCCAGAATCTGAATCAGAATCTGAATCACTGCCTCTTTTCTCCCCAGTGACGGTCTGCTTCCCAGGGTCCAGTCTTGGGGTTAGATACAGGCCGGTTTCTTTCAGGATGAAGTCTGGGATGACACACCATGTGGCCCAGTGCCACTCTGCCAGCCAAGGTGCCCCAGAGCACTCCGAGGCCCAGACCTGCAAGGACCAGCCCCACTCACCTCCAAATCCTCTTGTCTTCAGCTCTTCGTCCCGGATGACCGTTGGGGCGATCCCCAGATCTTTTCCAACTTTCTTAATCTCCTGGATGTGTTTGTGGAAAAAACACCACCACAAAGACACGTGAAGACGGCTTAACTCAAGGCGAGGCCAAGGCTCTGGGCCAAGGACGAGCTGATGGCTGCATGGCTGGGGAGGAACCAGGCTTGGAAGCCAGCGGCTCTGACTCTCTCGCTTTGAGTGTGATTAAACCCAGGAGAGAAGGCTCGCCCTCCAAACTGCAATTTCCTGCAGCTCATGGCTGGAGTCCTGCAGAGGGGCCTTCGAAGGAGGCTCTGTCCCCCCCATCCGCCCTCGGTCAAGGCTGCTGGCCCCTTGGAGCTGCGTGGACAGTAGGACTTTGTCCACAGCAGCCCCAGGCTTCCCCAGGCAAAGTGCAGAGACTGAACACTGTCGCCCTCTAGCCCCCAGCTTTCCTATGACCCTCCCTGGGGTCTACCGACACCCACCCATCCTGGCCCCGCTCCCTGGCATGAACCTCAGGCCATGCACCTCAAGGAAGGTGTCTGTGTTCATCTCATTGCAGGGTGTGTCCACAATGCGGGCCGCCAGCCGTACACCATCCGTGGCGTTTGTCAAGCACTAGAAAAAAAATCACAGGCTGTGACGGGAGCAGGTGGAAGGGGCTGCCCTCTCGTCCATTCCCCTGGCGATCAAAAGGTGTCAGAGGCACATGTCACCTGGGGGAGGTTATGGGGCTGCTGACAAAACAGCAAGGGGCAGGCGGAGGGGAAGCAGGAGCCACGCTGCCTGCTCTGGCGCCCCAGTTCCTGACCCCCCCGCAACCTACAGAAAGTTCACACCCACCTCCAGAGCGACACAGCGCCCCTTCAGCCTGGCGTCCTGACCTGGCATAAGTGGGGCCCACCTTCCTTTCCAAGCCTCCTCTACTCCTACCCTTCCTCCCAGTGGCGGATGACCCTGTGCCCTGGGCACTCCTGCCTGTGGCTTCTGCCGGTCCCCACGCCCTCTCAGGAGGAGGTGCTGCCCTCTATTATGGCCACGTTTGAGCCCCCAGGCCCGACGCTGTGCTCCAGCCCCCAATGGGATGGTATCAGGAGGCCGCAGGGAGGTCCTGAGGGTGGGTCCCATGATGGGATTAGGGTTCCTACGAGAAGGATGAGCCCCGAGTACGCTCCCTGCCCCATTAGGATACAGAAGGAGGTGACCACCTGAAAGCCAGGCGGGGAGCCCTCATCAGAACCCACCCCGCTCTCGAACTTCCAGCCTCCAGAACCGCAAGAAGTAAATGCCTGTTGGTTAAGCGGCCACATCTATGGTATTTTCTCATGGCAGCCTGAGCTAATACACCCTCCCTTCTGTTCTCATGAAGACCCCAGCCATCCTATGAGGCGCTTCTCAGAGGCCACAGCCCCCAGAAGCTCCTCAGGATCCTCCCAAAGGGGTAAAACCACTCTGTGGCCCAAGCCTCTGGCCTGCTGGCCCTCCAGGAGGCATTTTTCTGACATAAGCCCCCTAGGAAAATGTGTTGTAAATGCCGGCCCACCCTCGTTTCTCTGGTGATCTGATGCCATACTGCTCTGGGCACAGGAGGGAAGAAACAGGCAGACCTGCTGTATGTGACTGACCCGCCACCCAGCACCCAGACTGGAGCAGGACCCTGACACCAGCCACCACAGGAGCTTCAGGCAGGGGCCAACGCACACCTGCAGACTCGTTCCAGAAACTGGCTGCCCCCCATTTCACTTCTGCTTCACCCCTGACCTGCAAGTTTTCTGCCTTCTCATTTGTTTCTGCCCCACTCAATCCCCCCTCCCCGAAGCTTCAGACAGGAAATGATATTAAAGGATTAAGGCAGGTTTAGCGGGGTGCAGACAGCATTGCGTTCATCTGCACCTTTTCCAGCCCCCTGGTGTCAGGGAGGGCAGGCTCAGGGTCGATAGCGCCAGCCCCTCCACATCCCAGGCCCTATCTAATTGCTTCGTGAGCTCCGTCTGTTCCGAGGTAATTAAACCCCAAAGCCTCAAAGGCAGAGCCGTAGGACTTGACAACTCAGATATGAAATGTGGCTGTGGGGTCCCGGTGACTGTCAGCGGGCTCTCCCCCAGGGAGGACCAGGGTTCCCACCTGTGGGCGTCGCAGAGATCCACTGCTCATCTCTGACTCAAGCTGTGGCTGCTGTCTGAGAAATGCGTCAATGCCCTGAGACTCGTCTCAAAGGAGGCCAGGTGGCCGCCATGCAGACCTCCAGTGAGCAAGCTCCCCCACGCAGGTGGTGCGGGTTCGAGGGCAGAGAGCACACAGAGCCCTGTGGACTCGGGGAAGCGCTCGCCCTTTGTCATACCTCAGTTTCCTCATCACAAAAGCAGGATCATTCACTCATTCCATCCATGCTCATGTGAGCACCTATCATGTGCCACACTGGACTCAGAATCCAAAGATGTCCAAGAGACTCAAGTCCAGCAGAGGCCACAGCACACCATTCCATTCAATACTACAGAGGGGGGATGTGTGAGAGGCCACAGACACCTGAAGGGGACAAGGACCTAGATGGGGGCTGAAGAGGTCCCCACAGAGAAGAAAAGGCCACACGGGGTATCAGAACCTCCAGTGCTCACAATTCAAGATGGACAGCAAGCAGCCTCAGTTAAAACCTGACTCTACCGCTTGCTGGTGTGGCCCCAGCAAGTCACTTCATGTCTCTGAGTCTCAGTCTGCTCAACTCTATAATGGGAATAATAACAGGAGCCACCTCACAGGGCCATTGTGAGAATTCAGTAACCTGACCTGTGAGTGTGCGCACACTCGCCAAGAGCAGGGCCTGATGCCTGACAAGCACTCGGTAGCCACTGGTGATCATGTGGCCAGCTTTGGCTTCCTAAAGCAATGGGAGAGGGAGCTGGAGGGAGGGACTTGGAGGCAGCAGGACCAGTTAAGGGACTACTACAGTGGTCCAGAAAAGCAGTGGGAGGGGGCACCCCAAGATAGTGGCAGTGGGAAAGTGCTGGGAAAATTATGTGTCAGAACACGTCCCTGCCCTCCAGGAGCTCCGGAGGTGACGGTGACAGCTTTCCCAAGACAGAAGGGTGAGATGGGAGAAAGGACAACCTGGGTCTGGCTGCTGGAGTGGGGACTGGAGGTGGGGAGGGCAAAGGTACAGTGGTGGATGTGAGGTGGTCACACCAACAGAAGGAGGAACCTGACATTCAGTCCATACAAGGACTTCTGAGTTGGAAATCACTTCCAGCCCTGCCTTGCCCCCAAAGGATTATTCTGAGGATCCAGTGAAATAACATACATAAAAGTATGCTGTAAAGGGGAGTGTGATATATACGTGCACAGGATTACTAGCGTGAAAACATGAAAGCGCCTGGCACTACTTAGGGGCTCAACCATTGGCTGAACAGAACCACACCCTGAAAACAAAGACCACCTTGAGGGCGAGGGAGCTGGGAGCCTGTTTGGAAAGGCCTCTGGGGCCTTCTCAGGAATTACAGCAGCCCTCCCATCTTCTTAAAGAAGGGAGACAGTGCTCCCCAGACACCCCTCCCAGTGGCCCAGGGACACTGGTTGAACGTCCGGACACCCACTTGCAAAGTGGACACTTCCACTGGCCCGTTGTCTTGTCCCACCAGGAAAAACTCCACTGTGACCGTCTTCTTCTCCGCGCGCCGGGAAGCCCCCGAGCGGTGGGTGAACAGGGGGAAGGCTCGGGCCAGGGCACAGGCGGAGGCGAAGGCGTCCGACCGCTCACACACCATCTGCAGCAGAGGAGGCCGATGAGCAGAAGGGACAGGCCAGGGCCACCCAGGGAGCCGCGATGGCCGCGCTGGGGCTCGCAGCTGGCTCTGAGGCCGCCAGCACACAATCTGGACACAGGTGGCCCAACCCGGCCATCGCCCGGGGCCTTCCCCCAGACCACAGTGTTGCTACTTGAGGAAGGAAACCTCAGCGACTACAGGCCCCTCAGGGCCTCCCGAGGCAGGAAAGCAGAACCGGGAGGACCGACAGTAGGCCCCAGTCTGGGCCTGTCTCCCACGTGCCTACAGAACTGATCTGGGGGAGATGGCTTCCTCTCCGACCTCAGTTTCCCCGTCTGGAAGA